ACTAAGTTTGTTATTGGTATGAGCTTTCGTGTGTTATTTGAAGAAGTGTGCATGCACATGAAAGCTCATACCAAGAACAAACTTAGTTGGTCTGTAAGGTGCTACTGGGAGGATTTTTTTTTTATTTTGTCCCTCCAATGGTTGCTGCGGAGGTATTACGTTAAAGGAATCAAGGGCTCGCCATGCATTTGTTTGACCCCAAAAGGGGGATAGGGCTGTGCAAGAGCCCCTGGGAGCATTTCAGGTGTGATCTTAGGGATCTGCACCCATCCCAATCGATCTCCCGGGGTGCTTACCTTGACTGACCTCTGCAACTGGCATTTGTCAGTTCTGTTCATGTCCTGAATAGTCTGGGGCCGGTTCAGATAGTCTGAACCAATGCCTAAGCAAACCAGTCACAGCCTGTAATCAATAAAGTTGTGGCCAAAATTATGCCAAACCTCAAACTAAAATTTGAGTCATGTGTGAATTTATTTCTAGGCAGTTTTGGTGATCATAACATGCAACATTTCTGAACCTTCTTCTAATGCTAAACAAGTCATCTTCCTGGTTGTTTTCAGCTTCTGTTGAGTATCCTGCAACAAGTCATCCTAAGCTCAAACTTTGATGAAGATGATAATGACTATGTTTTGGATTTTTTTTTAATTGCAGCTATTTGCATACCAAGTGAACCACAATAATTGATTAAGTAGATGGGAATGATGTTGCACAATTAAATGTAATGTGTGGTGACAGCTCTGTCATTTATAGCTATGAGTCTCTTAGCATAAATCTGAAGTTTGGCATCAATACTTTGGAAGTCTGGCAGATACACGAGGAGCTTCCACCATTGCTCTTGTCAATTGACTGAGCATATATTGCTGTATTGCCTTTCCTGACGTGTCGACTATTGGACTTTGGTATCTTGAGATGCCTTTTGGAGTGCAGGCTACCGCAGAGCATACCTGAGAGTCAAATTGCCATAGAATAGAACGTTTTGCAGATTTAAAATTTTAACAGGTGATTGATTTAACAGACAAAATAATTGTGTTTCTCCTGTCAATGCTGCATCTAAAGCAGAAGGTTTGGGCCCTCGAAAGTGACTAATTAGTGGGATTCTGTTTCAGCTACAGCTACTACAATGCTCCTTTTCGTGCACTACCAAAATAGATTTGAGCTAACACCTTTGTTGCCAACCACTTTCTTGACCAATTTGTATGTATCGCCTATTCAGTGCTAGAAAATAATACTTAATTATCACCATTATAAAAACAGATTTAAAAAGGAATGGTGATTACACACCATCTGGAAATGTACTCAAGCTGTCAAAAAAATCTGTGGATGACTCCCATATACAGTATTCAAATGCCTGCAGGAAACTGCATTTGGTCAAGGGGGAAGGATTCATTCAAGCTCATGCATTATTATTATTTTTTTAAAAAAAATATGAGCTTGGAATATCAAGTAAAGTTCAAAGTAAGTGCAAGAGTTTTACTTTGAAGAATGTTAATAGGGTGCATATTAATTGGATGCACTGCATAAATTAATGCAGGACAATAGAAAGGAGAATTGGTTCTAACCATGCTCAATAGAGCAGTCGAAATGCTTGATGTAGCTGAAAGAATAAAGTGGGAGGGGGATACCAAGCAACTGCTGCATAGATGGGAATAGATAAACAGATGATCGCTGACTTCTCTGAGCAATTAAAGATCTGGAGAGTTCTCCTGAATGCGACCATACCCTGTTAGTGCCTGTTGAGGTACCTTTGGCTCTGTGTTTCCTGGCAACCGGGTCTTTAGAGACCCCAGTTGGGGACAAAACTGGTATTAAGCAGTCTTCCATGTCTAACAACCTGGCACAGTTTCTCATAGCTCAGATAAAAACACAATTAAGCAAATTTGCTTGCCCACTAATGTGCAGTGAGGAAAGCGCAGTGTGGGTGGATGGGATGAGATTTTTCTTAGGGCTGATTTTTGGTATAGGAAAATTATAAAGAATATGAGTAATTAAAAAACACACCCTCTTCTACGAGAAAAGAAATTCTACTTGGGTGCATAATAAGAGCACATTGTGTACAAAATTGCTTTTGCTAACAAAGAGATGGGGCTAAAATAGAAACGTATGAGCTTCTGCTATGGATATCGGTAACTAGGACACTGATCGCAAGCCGATGGCATCAAAGAAGGAGTGCAAAAAAGAAGGCAAATTGTGTTGCTTTTGCTTTCTAAAATTAGGGAGATGTTCCCAACTCCATTCCAGCTGAGGTTTGCCATTCTTGAGGCTATTTATACTTTGTATAAAGCTGCATAATAGAAACCCTAACCTCTCTAGAAAAACTATATTAGTCACCATTATTTGAAATTCAGCAAATTGCCGGTGGATCTCCAGCCTTTAAGTTCAGAGAGGTGTGTAGGGCAGGGGCTAGCCCTGAAAGTTGAAGTATAGATTATGTAAAAAAAGGGAAAGAACTAGAAATAAACCACAAGCCACTTTATTATGCTAGTTTAATTTATACATGTTTTGCCACTTTGTTTGCAGACTGCATCAATACACATATTAAGATGGGGGAGCTGGACAGAAGCTTGTGGTCCCCACTGGGCAACAACTTCCTCAAACTTTGATCATCCTCATCTAGTACATAAAGACCAAGGATAAAAATGCACACAAATAATGAACAATAATCTGAATTCCAAATTATTCAGAAAAGTGGGAATGACTGCCTGTGTTCAATTCATAAAATATATCAAATATTTCCATAGCTTCCTGTGCATTTTTAAATGTTCCATTTACCTTGAAGTCTTTTTTACAGAAAGGCAGAATTTGCATTCAACTTTGATAACTTAGTCCCAGGATTTTGTGTACCAGCAAAACCTGTGGAATATGCATTAAGCCAACTGTTGCCTTTGCACGATGGCACACGTTAGATATTGCGACCAGATGCACATCTTGAAGACCAGGATGAGCCTTAATGAAAGACAACAGAGCTGCAGTTGTTGATTTGAAAAAAAAAATTTTTTTGAAACTATTTATCCACAGATCATCTATCTATCCACAGAGCCAGATCATTGTTCTATCTGGCATTTTAGGAGTTCAGAGAGTATCCTATTCCACTTCTACCTGGAGATGCTGGGGATTGAACCTGAGTCTGTCTGCATGCAAAGCAGATACTCTACTGTTGGGCAGTGGCCCTTGCCCTGTGCTGAAGAGGTCACACTTTCACCCACTCTGGGTATTTTATTAGTGTGTTCAATATGCATGTAGGGTAGTTACAGTTACAAGTACACTGGCTTTGCACCTGCTGCTGTTCTGGTCATCTTTCAGCTCCTGGACAGCTACCTCATGAAGTAGGAAGCCTCCTGTAGTCATGGAGGCTCCCCACATGTTTTAGAAACCTGATTTTCCAGCCTGGAAAGGAATTTCCACTAACACACCCAGTTTCACCTTAATAATCACAGGCAGGAGCTGAGGACAGGAGATAACCTTATCTAGATATGAAGCAAGTGAATTGTGAGAACAGTTGACCATAGAAATGCCCATAATTCACAGGAATTATTGAAGCCTTCTGTCAAGCCCTACCTCCAAGCCTGCTCTGGAGGTACTATTAATGGCTGTTCTTCCTCTGAACTGAGGCTTTAGGGTCAAAAGGAACCATATTTTGGTCCCCATATCACTGCCTAACTTTATCATGGGAAACTAAAATGACACTGTCATTTCATTTGTATCACAAAGACTGCCAAATAAACTACTTGTACAAAGGTTAATGGGATGTGGGTGGTGCTGTGGTCTAAACCACAGAGCCTAGGGCTTGCTGATCAGAAGGTTGGCAGTTCAAATCCCCACGATGGGGTGAGCTCCTGTTGCTTGGTCCCTGCTCCTGCCAACCTAGCAGTTCAAAAGCATGTCAAAGTGCAAGTAGATAAATAGGTACCACCAAGGTAAATGGCGTTTCCATGTGCTGCTCTGGTTTGCCAGAAGCGGCTTAGTCATGCTGGCCACATGACCCGGAAGCTGTCTGCGGACAAACGTCCACTCGCTTGGCCAGTAAAGCGAGATGAGCACTGCAACCCCAGAGACGTCCCCCACTGGACTTAACGGTCAGGGGTCCATTTACCTTTACCTTTACAAAGGTTAATATATTTGTAACTGTGTGTTTAGCCTTATGTATTTCACTTTAGAGAACAACAATAATGCATGGAATTCAATGTAACTTAAGAGGTCAAAGAATGTGAGAAGAGTAGCTTTTCATTCAGCAAGTGACCTTTAAGTGTTTTCACCACAAGAGACTAATTTAAGGTAGTTTAATAAACATCTCTAATAGCTACATTTTCTTTGTGTGTGTGTGTGTGACTATATTTTCTATAAAAATGGTACAGCAATCATAGTGCTATTTATGTTTCAATCAGTCACAAATGTGAAAAGTTCGAAAGAATGAATAGCTATATAAGATGGATATGTATTGCATCCACTCCTTTGATAGGTTGATTGGCAGCCAAAGCAAACACTTAATTCCAATGATTTATTCGTTCAAGGGCATTCCATTATAAATAATAGAATTGTAGAGTTAGAAGGGGTCACAAGGGTTATCCAGTCCAGGCACATTCAACTCACAAGAGAATGCGATCTAGTCCCAGTATAAAAAAACTGGCAGTGATCTACCCATTGTCATTGGAGGGAGGAGGAACGTGTGTTTTTAGGGGGGAATGTCGAGAGAGAGTTGTTTTTTTTGGGGGGAATGACAAACTTCACTCACCAGAAAGTCCAACACTGACTATCGCACACAGCAATAAAGTGAACATCACTTCCCCTTGCTGGTGTGACCAGCATTCAATGCTGCTGCGGTGCCAGCAGAGGAACCTAGCGCCAGGGGCAGCTACATTCCTTGCTCACGGTCGACCATGATGCCGCAATCTACCCACGATCGACCAGGAACACCCCGGCAATCTACCTGTAGATCGTGGTCAACCAGTTGGACATGTCTGATCTAGTCCACCCCCCTGCAATGCAGAAATCCTGCCTACAGCTGTACTTGGGTAGGCACTAACCACCAACCTTCTGGTTAACAGCCAGAAGCACTGACCCATTGGGCCAGGAAAAATAAAAGCACACCATGAGAGCCTGTGAATCACATCTTTCCATCTGTCCTCCTATGCCTGTCCCGACTCCAAGATCTAGGCTTTCCCAACTGCGTAATTGGGTCTTTATCACAAGTGCCTACTTTGCATGGTTTTAATTTTGTTTTAACAGTATTGCTGGTTTGTACTTTTAACTATTTTTAAATTATTGCTGGTGGTCACCCAGTGTTGTTTCTCATAGATTATGGTATCAGTTGAGAGGGGTCTACCAATAGCTAGCTAATAAGCTTGGATTTATGGGGACTCTTGGTTCTGTCTTTCAAAGCATTGGAATTTACAACCTCCAAAGTAAGAAAGACAATGAAGCAGAATATTAGGAGAATTTGGTGTCTTCAGCTTACAGAACAAATATGAGGAATTTGGGGGAAGCATAAAGAGTACCGTAAGGGCAAACAAACAAATAAAATAATGAAGGTTTTGCTGTGGCTTGCTTTCCAATACCAGCTTTGATCTGATGCCTCTCCTCTAATTCAGTTCATAAATAATAACATTCCAGCACAACTTTTGTATTAAAGAAAAACTGCCGAGTTATATTCAACCTTAACTTAAATTGCACAATTAAGAACTAAGGAATATTTTTTATGACTTTAGATCATCCCTGCCCCCCAGGAAAGTTTGAGTCTATATAACTCCTAGAATGTATAGCACATCAAGAATAAAAATGTTAAGAAAAGCCTTATTAATATACACAGAAGGAAGAGAAAAAGAATTCTCCAAAATTGGACAGATGGTTTGCTAAAATATAGGACTCTTCTTTTGGAAGAAATTAGGAATCTAAACTAAGTAACACAAATGTATTCATACAGCAGGTACTTTAAAACTTATTCAGAGCTGTAAAACCAGAGCTAAGTTTGATGTTCTTTGTATAACTTTCTCTTTTTTTGGCTGAAATCACTCTCCAGGAGGGATTAATGGCTTCATGATCTTTTGGAGGGGAACACTGTCCACTTGCATTGTTTTGCCTGTGATGATGATCATATTTCCTACTGCGGCTGGATGTCATATTTCTTCAACGCTTCCTACGCAGAACAAGGTCCAGAATGAAAGCATGGACAATTGTTTTCTGATCCTGCCCTTTCTTAGTTTCAGTTTCACGATTGCGCTATATATCCATGGCATCATAAAACCAAGGAGCAAGAAACTGTACTTTCTCTCCCTCTGCTATCTTCTTGATAGGAAGTTTTCAAGAAAAGTGGTACCACCAAAAAGGGAACGCAATAAGCCACATGAAGTAAGTGGTATAAACACGCCAACACTTTTCACCTCCCAAGCAACAGAAATCCTCCCCTACACAGCTTCATAACCTCCAGACAGTATAGCAAAGCTTGGGGAGCTCGTTTGGGCTTAACCCAAAGAAAACTAAAAGTTACAGGCCTTATTAATACGACACCGGCAATGAGATTTGAAGTGTATGCTGTAGAAAGCTCTTGTCCTTAAAATGACGCTGAGGGATCCCAACTAAAATATATTGTCCACTGCATTACACTAGTGTGCTCTGTGATTGGATAGCGAACCAACATTGTCATTGGTTCATAGGCATAGAGACTGATAGAACTACAAAAAGCTGGCCTTCAAAGGATTATGAAGAACGGTTGAGGGAATTGGGCATGTTTAGCCTGGTAAAGAGGAGACTGAGGAAAGATATGATAGCTATCTTTAAATATCTAAAGGTGTGTCACATGGAAGATGGAGCAAGCTTGTTTTTGCCTGCTTCGGCAGCTAGAACCCGAACCAATGGCTTCCAGTTACAAGACAAGAAGGTTATGACAAAACATCAGGAAGAACTTTCTGACAGTAAGAGCTGTTCAACAGTGAAACGGACTCCCACAAGAGGTGGTGGAGTTTTCCTTCCTTGGAGGTTTTTAAGCAGAAGTTGGACAGCCATCTGCTGTTGTCGGGGATTGGACTCAAGAGTGCAAGAGAAAAGAGGAGGAATGGTGGGGATCACCCACCCCTTCTCTTGACGCTGCGGGAGAAGGAATGCTGCTTTGAATTACAGCAGAGGTTTGAGGAGAGTAAGGGAAGCCACAGCTCAGAGATAGGTGAAGAGAAGAGTTGGGAAATGTTAGAAATGTTAGAAGGGGGCGGGGAGGAAACTGTGACAGGGCAGTCAGCTGAGCCATTGTTGCTGGAGAGTATTTCTGATCCCCCTTTCCCCAGAACTCGGTTTCCGTTAAGGGTGCAAGAACAATGGAATCAGAGACATTTGACCACTGTAGGGAAAGGTGCTGTTGCTAAGAAGGAAAGAAAAGCAGCCCAGTTTGAAGCAACACCGTTGTTAAGGCTAAATGCATTCTTTTGTCTCTTGCTATTAGAATTGAATAAAACTCATTAAAAAGGACTACCTTGCTGCAACTGGGGGAGGAAACACTTTCCCGAAGCCTTAGCAGAGCCTTGACAGCTATGGATGCTTAAGTTGAGATTCCTGCATTGCAGGAGGTTGGACATGATGACCCTCAGGGTTCCTTCCAACTCTACAATTCTATGATTCTATGATACTGTACCATCTCTGTTCATTCTCACTCCTATCTCCCGCTCTTTCACTAGCCAGTGATTATCACCCAGCAGGGCATGAACCATGGCTGACCCCGGCCTCATGCCTAGCTGTGAATTTTACACTTTACATAGGTTGCAAAATTATAGTCTAACACTCTTGGTTTTTTGCTTTTCTTTCCCCCCTGTCTTATGCGTAAGACTTTGTGCGTGAGGAGGGAAGATATGCAACCACAAAGGAAAATGTATTTCAGCACCATGTTCAGCAAAGAAAACAAGTTATTATATTCTTAATAAATGCGTTACATGGGGGAGAATGTCCTTTCCCCTTGGATGCTAAATAGCAAGACTACAAGGCTTTTTTCTCCCTGTAAAGCAAAAGAGTTTCTAAAACACAAATTGTTACTATTGCTTCTGTACATTGCTATTTATATGGAAGAAAAATGAGAAGGTAAAGAGTTGACCTTGCAGAATCCACTGCTTTTTCACAATAGCAGAAAATGTTATTTATTTATCTCTCTCCCGCAAATGAGAATGATTTTCGTGACCCAGTTATAGAATGTTGCTGAGTAAGCCAGGGATGCGCTAGTAATATATGGACTTCTAAGGTTTCCAGTCCTCTCTGGAACCAAGTTGGATTTAAGCCTGGAAAATTTATATTATGCTGCAGTAGTTCTATCCCTATCTGCGTGTAGGAAGCTGAAGAAAATACCATAATCTGTTTGCTGCCATTCCTTATTGATACACTTGGCAACAAGTGAGGCTAAAAACTGTTATAACAGAAATCCCCAATATTTTGTTATCACACCTGAATTTTCTGCATGATACGTACATTGCTTTCTCCATACCTTTTTTTATCCATCAAGTAGCTGTATAATGGTGTCTTTCGAATGGATGAGCTGTTTTTGTTTTATTTTCTTCTCTTCCCATTTGCATTAACTGGTTCCCCCTCCCCCTTTGTTTCTCTGTTTCTTTCTTTTTTCATTTCAACAACAAACCAAAATATTCTCCCAGAGCCTAATCAGCTGATTGTCTCAGGAATCTCAGTAACCGGGCAGCAGCCTCACAACTGGGTAGCCCTTCTTGAATCCATGCAAGCTTTTTTTATTATCTTGCCCTCCTTGCTCTGCCACTGATGAAACCTCGGGCTCAAGAAGTGGCCAGAGCTGAACCCTGAAACCAACTCAGTAGTTTTTCTGGAGACACTCATTCAGAATAAAAAGAATAATTGTGTGCGGCAGGGGGCCATAATGGCAGCAGCTACATCCTGACTTTTGTACATTATTTGAAAGTCTGCAGACAGCTACCATGTGAACAACCATATATGCAGATATCCGTCTACAGTACGGATAGGAAATGCTTTTCAGTCCATGGGTCACATTCGCTTTGGGGCAAACTTCTATGGGCCAAATGCTCATAGTGGGCAGAGCGAGACCAAAGGTAGGCAGAGCATTCAATGAAAATTTTACCTTTGTGCAGTAAGCCAGTTTATTCACATTTGCATATCCCTCTCCATCCTTCATCTAAGCAAGCTAGAAGCATTCTCAGAGTTTAAGTGCTGGAAAAGGGTGTGACTTGTGTGGCCTGGGGATAGTCCTGAGGGTCACCTAGGGAGGGCTGGAGGGCTGTCTCTGGACCTGAGGTTCCCCATCCCTGCCCTGCAGATACTCTAATGGACTTGTGTAGGTCACTGGGGTTTGGGCTGGTAGCCACCATGGTGCTACTGCCTGCTACATTCATTTATTTCCCCCTAATGAATGTTTGTAAATGCCAGAGTCCCAGTAGAAGCTCACTCCTTAGAGTTAACAACTAAAGGTGGCAGAAAGCACATTCATTTTCCTCTGCCAGGGTCATATAATTATTTTTTTGTTTACTGGAGCAGAAAGTTTACAAAGATGATTTTTTAGTTCACTACCTAAAGAGAGATTAAACACATCTCCGGGGCATTCTCCTGTGGACAAGAACAAGCAAGAAAAGAAGTTCCTGCTAAATTACTTCAGGAGGGTTCTGATCAAATCAGAAAGGTTCAGATCAAATCCTGATCATACATTACAGGCCCTGCAGATTAATCAAAGAATTTATTTGTGCAAAATAACATTCCAGCACCACTGTGTGTAGTGCTATATTTGAGATCTCTGGATGAGTCATAGTAAATTGCCTTTTCCTTTCTTCCTTTCTTTCTTTTCCTTTAAAGTCAATGATATCTGATTCACATTTTACATACGTACCTGTGGGTTATTCTTCAGGGTATCATAAAAATACTCAATTGCTACAATCCAGCATGCTCTTAAGCTCATTGATTTCAGTTGACTACTTAAATCCACACTGGATTGTGGTCAATTTTAGCAGCACATTGGTCAGAAAATATATGTGACTGTTGGAAAACTGAGGGGAAAACAGCTTGTAACAATACCTTCATGTTATCAACCAATTCCTTGTTTCTGTTTTCTTATTCCATTCACTCAGTATCTGCCTAGAA